CATACATACATACATACATACATACATACATACATACATACATACATGCATATACTTGAGTGAATCTACAGCTGTGTGTAGACTAATGCTAATCCATCGGTGCTTAAACTGCAGCGTCATCATGGACTCTCACTCTCATGTAATCCCTTTTAGGTGGTTCAGTCCTTAACATGTGGACAAAAACAGTGCTTGCGTTTGTTGCGGTGTGGCCATCTCTGCTATGGAAATCGGAATACGTTTTATAACACAGTCCGTTTTTCACAGCCTACCAAGGACTGGTTGAAGAGGGCGGACTGGAGTGTGGGGGCTGACATTTTAAAGAGCTGTTTCAGGTAGACTGTTAAATATGACTTGCTTAAAGGTTTTTGTGAAAGCTATTAACTAACCGTCACTGAGTAACTGTTCACACTGCTGTCTTTGATCTTCGGTAACTGTTTGTGTCAATGCTCTGCAGAGTGCTGCCCTGCAGAGCATTTGAGCTCAGCATTGTGTCAGCTATGCAAGATAGTCACCCTTAGTGTTACATTTGCAATAAATCCTCTATTTCGCACAAAAAATCATTATTCTAGCAATGCTAGTTTCAGTGATAAGACATAATTGACGGAAAAGGCTGTCAAACAATTTGATAAGTGAGCAGGGTCATTTTGAACCCATTTGTTGTTTTCTTTAGATTTGATCTTATTGCAGCAACAGGAGGAGCCTAACTGTTTCTTCTTCACAAGGTTAACTGAGTTTAGCTTAATTATCTAAAGGCTACATACAACGAGTTGACTTTTGTTGAGCAAGGAAGGCAAAGTTAAGGGGGGAAGGTATCCTTCAAAAGTGTCTCTGTATCATGTATAATTAAGGTACCATTTATTTGAATTATGCAAAGCTTTGATATAGATCCTTGAATTTGAGATCATTGCTTCCTAGGGAATAGAGAAAGCGATACAGAGTGGAGAAGAGGGGGCACGAGTGAGGAAAAGGCAGATTTGGAAAATAATTACAGCTTGAGAGATGGTTGCAAGGGACTTCTGGGAAATGCAGGTGGAAAGAGGGAGGGGATAGCCCAATATAGAAAAAATGAAGACACACTGAGATGGCCACATGGTGGATTACAGTCTGCATATGCACGGTTCATTTGTTTGTCATGAATGAAAATAGCACCTCCAAACAACTCTGAAGTTACCTCACAAGGGAAAGAGAGAAAGTTGCATCCCTCTTGAGAACAGTGCTGCAGCGGTACGTAAAATCAGGCTACAGATCCTCAACATGGAGGCTAAGCAAGATTCAGAGACCCCGTTTTCCATTTAGAATCTGTTGTAAAGGCCCCGTCCTTCCCATATTTTAAACACTGTCCATCTAGCACAGTTCTGATGTTTTTCTTTTAGAGGGGTAAAATAAAATAAAAAGTTCCTTTGGTTCTGTCACCGAAAAAGCATTAAACACCATCTGAAGCCTAAAGGTTTTCATTTGCGCTAAGACTGATTATGCAAAAGCAATCAGGTGAAGCAGCAGGCAGTGAGTCTAAGGCTTCATTATTAAAGAGAAACAGCTCAGTCGCGATATGCTGTGCGTATAATTTTGAACTGCTAGAAACACTCTTGAGGTAATGTTTTAATATGTCAACTTAAAAGATAGTTGACAAATGAAACAATATTTAGAGATAGAATTGGGAGAGATGGGCCGACTTATGCCCTGCAGACTCTTGGGGAGACCCTACAGTTTCACTTCAAATTGAGCTTTGATCAGCAATACTGTTTTAAATTGTAAGTTATTTTTGACCTTTTGGCACCTTAGTTATCATATACAGTGGGGGAAATAAGTATTTGACCCCTTGCTGATTTTGCAGGTTTGCCCACTTACAAAGAATGCTTATTTTTCCTCATCAGATGGTTATCAATTTTTATAAATTCATATGATGTGATTTTCTTGAATTTTCTTTGGGATTCTGTCTTTCACTGTTAGAATGTACATATGATTAAAGTTATAGATCGTTGCATTCTTTGTAAGTGGGCAAACCTGCAAAATCAGCAAGGGGTCAAATGCTTATTTCCCCCACTGTATATCTTAAATCTATAATTTTCTTATGCTCATCCCTTTGTTTTCTGTTTATAAATTTCAGCCACACACACATATCCATAGATAGAAATAATTGCTCGATTTGATGTATACACAGATCAGATTTTGTTTCCTGTTTGTTTGCCTACTTTCCTTTCCAGACCCAGCTTTTGAGTAAACCCTTTGACTCTCTTTATCCAGAAACATATTATTGCCTAAATGTAAGTTATTACTTTCAAGTAAATGCAATTTGTAATAACCTGCCCAAAGCTGTCATCTTTGCTACTGTTAGATAAGTAAACTGGAAGCATTATTCATTGTGCAGCCACCTGCGGCCATGTTGTCCCCTCTGGTCCTTCCTCTTTCTTGATAATGAACCAAATCACAACTCAGAGCAGTTTGGAAGGTCAAAACTTAATCATCTCATTAACGTGCCTTACGCACTCATAAGATGGAGTCACTTTCTAAAAAAGCACTCCATAACACTTGTGCTACATAAATAAACGGTCAGAGCTGAGCTTGCAGCAACACAGTGTTAAATGAGGCAAATGCTGTATACCACCCCCCCCCCCCCCCCCCACACTAAAACAAACCACCCCCCCTTCCCCCCCCCCCCCCCCCCCACACACACACACACACACACCCTTCCCATTCCACCCAGCAATCATACAGCCAGTCAAGAGCAGAGACTAAACAGTTTGAAACAGCAGCCTCCTCCTGCTTGTCATTTTAGGTTGAGGTAAGAACATAGTGGGTGAAACAACATGATCAGAATATTGAATGGGATCTGATCAGCTGACGGGAGTTACTGACCAGCAGGGCAGACTTTGAACAGTGTCACTAAACAGTTGCCTGTCATGCTGTGACCCCATCATTAAAGGTCACAAACAAACACACTCACACACGTACACACACACAAACACACACGTACTGTTAAGGACGTGTTTGTCCTTAAGGGACCCCATAAGGGGTGCTTAATGGGGCCTTCAGTACTGCCCAATTTCTCCTCCAGGAGAAGCTGACTCATTCTTCCCCGAACCCCTGCTGGTGTTCTTCTTGCCACTGTTGCCATGAAATATAGTTTTGTTAGATTGAATAGTTTTGCTGCTTAGTCACATAGGTGTTGCCAAGTGTCTCATCTAATCAGAGCAAACGGTCTGAATTAATTCACTACGTCAGGCTGCTTGTAACTTGACAACAATTTATGCTCAATGAATGAACAAATGATTAATATGACTGTGCATTTTCGCAATGACTCAGAGTGATTTAAACGCGGACTGAAGTTTGTCTGTATTCGAATAGTTCAATCTTTCCGAGGAAGATTCCCGTGGAAATGGAGGTTGTGTCTGACTGAGTCTTTTTTTGGAGACGCTGCTTCTTGGAACTCGTTGACACGTTCGCACTCCAACCAACACAGCACAAAGCTGCTGGTCCCTCCTCTCTCCTCTCCCCCTCTCCTCTCTCCCTCCTGCGCACTAAAGCGGTGCACCCAGCCACTCCAGCCCGGCAGTGAACGAGTTACTGCTGGTGCAGTGTGTGTGTGTGTGTGAGGCTGGTGCGCCCCTCCCTGGTCGGAGCACACGCCACTGCTCGTTTTTCGGCTGTTTTGCAGGCGGATGTTGCCGCATCCCGGCGCGCTGTGCTCCGCCGCCAGGTTGCGTTCCTCTTCAAACGTGCCAAATCTCCTCCTCCGTCCTCCTGTCTCCCTCTTGACACACTCACGGGCACACGCAATCTGCGACGCTCTCCTCTCGGGTTTCTAGACACAAAACTCTCCGACAAAAGTGTCTGACCATCCATCACGGTACGTAAAACTGTTTTTTGAAATATCCCATCAGATGTTGATCTCTGTTGGTGCAGCCTTACCCCCCCCCCCTCCTCTTTTTTGCGCGGAGTTTTACTGCGACAGGTTCTTTTTTTCTGTGATGCCATGGAGCGACTGTTGCATATTGTGTTTTTTTTTTTTTTACCTTCGTATTGTTAATTTATTTTCTTTTCTTGTCATAGTTCAGATTTTCTCCTTCTTCTCCGCACAGACGTGACGTCTCTCCTTTCGCCACTGCGTATCAATCGGTGTCTTTTCACTCGCTGTTGCGTAATATCAGCCAGCATCCAGAAAACCAGATATTTACTTTTATGCGCAGTGTTTTTTGAAGGGGGGGGCAACTGGGGGATGGACGTCTATAAGAAATTGGGGCAGGAGACAGCATAAAGTCTGTAAACATTCCTTTAAATCTACCTTGACATAAGAAGGGACACATAAGGTTCAGCCAAGGGATTTAGTCCAGTCGTGTCTTCATCCACTTATTACAGGTGATAGAACGGAAGAGCTTATTTAATCTATTTTCCTGTTTAAAAACCTTCATACTGTGGGCCTGCAAGGGTGATGATCAATGACAAAGACATGCAGCTCATAACTGCTTTCTTTCCATCTTATTTTGTTAAAAAAAGTTGATCAAAAATAGTTTTTTTTAGGGTGATGTAAATGTATATGAACTTTCCTGTAAACACCATGACAGGTTTGATTCCCTGAAAACAGTCTGATCCAATCAGTCACATTCAGTTGATCTGGATAAAGCTTACCATACATCTAAGCGATGTTTGGGCTGAATGATACTTTAAGCCAAACAGTCCCAAGTGAATAAAACAAATAAATACATTTTTAAAAAGGAATGTGTTAGTTAAAACTATCTGGCAACTAAAAATATAGACAGTCTTGCTGAGGCTATTTTTGATTAAAAGAAAAAAAGTAAAGAGAAGGACAAAATGACCCTTCAAATCAGGAGCTGAGTGTATGAAAAAAGCGAAAGAAAAGAAAAAAAAGTGTATGTGTGGGCGTTTGTTGGTGGGTGGCATGTGTTTTGGTTACAAACAACCAGACATCATATATAGTTGAAAGTAGACAAGTGTTCTACCGATGATTCATTCATGCTGAGGATGGTACCATCCCTATTGCAGTATAACCCTCCTTCTCGGTGATGTGCATGTGTGTGTCTGTTTGGATGTCTGAGATGATAAGTAATGGTTATAAATGGGAAGTAAAGCTGATTTTCTTTTTCCATTTTCGTCAGTTTTCATCCCATGTGATTCAAGTGTCACCGTGTAATAGATCTGCTCCAGTTTCCTGTACAGGGTCTCTTGATACCGAATAATTCCAGTGACTCAGCAAAGGTGGTTCGACCCGTGTGTGTGTGAGTGTGTGTTCGTGATCTTAATGAGTGTCTGCTTGTTCAGGATTATCCTCTCTCTCTGATATAAACTGCGATTGTCTGAATACAGAGTTATGTCAGTGTAATTACTTCGCCTTGTACTAACCAAAGCTTAATATTCAAGGTAGAATTAATGTAAAGTTTATATGATCATTGGTCAAAGATGCTGCTGGTCAAAGATTTTTAATATTAATGATTTATTACTATGCGATAAGTCTAGATTCTTTTTTGTGTAGTCTTGTGCCCCCTGTTATCAGGTGTATCTGATTTTGAGCAAAGTTTTTACAATTAAATTATACAAAAGGTGTCAGATGCTAAACATTTCAGAAACCGTACGTATCAAATATGATACATTTGGCATTATAGGGTTAAACATCTACTCCTAGGATTGTTACCTCTTTCTGAGCTATTTGCTTGCCATTGAAAATAAGATGTTAAAACTAGAGCAAATAGATAACTTGACTAGAACCATCAACTAATGATCACAATTCCTAAATAGCATTCTGGTGTTTTTTTCATCTGACTAACACTCAAAAAATGTTACTGTTTTGCCATATACAAAAGAACAATGATCTGTAGATAATATTTGGTTGAAACTGAAATTCACACATCTAAAAAACAGCATTTCAACTTGTCAGGTGATATGAGCTTCTCCCCTAACTATCAACCACCATTATCTAAAGCAGACTGGTAGTTCCTCACTTTCCTCACATGTGTCACTTGGCTCAAAGCTTAAGACTCCATGAAGTCAAGTCACTTACCCGTAGCTACTAATTAAATGTGTTATTTGTATAACTACAAGGATTTGAGACTAAATGCCCACTACTAACCTACTCACAGATCTGGTGGCCAGATTAACATGTCAGAGGGGAGGACAGCATCTGGGAAAATGAATCATGTGATGCTGCAAAATGAGTATGGTATCCATCACAATATTGTGAAAACTGATATATTCTACCCCATATGTTTTATTGGCAGACCTTTGGTAAATCCTCATGTCTATCTCAAGTTTCAGTAAGACGCAGACCTCTGTGATTGTTGACAGACTTAATTTTGTAGTCTTATTAAAGTATTAGCTGTCTTATGTCATGGGGTAATCACTTGAATAGCTGCACTAGATGGCTTGCTAATTACTGACCAGCCAGATTATGTAAATTGCAGTGCTTGAGATCAGGTTGAGTTGGCCTCTCATGCATATTGGACTTTGAGCGATTGCGTTTGAAAAGGAAGTTGTTGTTACTTTGAAAACATTTTACTCATTACATCATGTAATGAGTAAAATGATAAGCATGGTTGCCAGAAAGACATTCCAAATTTAAAAAACTTTGCAGAACCGCACCTTTGAAGTGACTCTGGATTATTTGGAATTTTTTTCTTATTTGACCACCTTACAGTTATGGGTCGTAACATCACCATTGAAAAGATAAATGTTCCTGTGAGCCCTGCACATGTACAGGCATACTCAGAGAGTAAGATTTAAATTTCAGAATGGTATGAAGGGGACAAAGCAAGACTGGAATTGTTTTTACAAGCCATTATGGCTTAGATTGGAGTGAATATGTGCAACAACCATTTTGTCCAATATAATGGTGTTTTAATAGTAAATGGGACAATGATTTTTAAAGTTAGTTGTAAGCACTTTAAAAAGCACTTCAAGGACTAGAATTTCCCTGAAGGAGTCATCCCAAGGGAACTCTGGTTTTTATGTACATGTAACGTAAATCTGCCCCAATGTTCTTTCAAAATTGGGGTGTATCCGTGTCTAGTCAAATCTAAGTCTAAGTCTAATGGCCACGCTTCATAGACTTTAGCATGACTGAGGCTTCTTTGTCTTATAACAGAACTCTTAACCTGTTTTGATAAGACTGCATCAGAATCAGAGGGAGACCATGATGGTGAGCATCTGTCATACTTTCCTCTACTCATTGCCATCGTATTAAAGTTAAATTTCCAAATTGATTCGGAATGAAGTCATTAGCTAAATAGACTGTGAAACCCCGATAGATGTTGCCTGTTGCCGGTGACAGCCCATGCGTTTGGTGTTATTTGTTTAGCTGTGTTTGGAGCAGTATGTTTTAACTGGCTGATCATTTATGACTGCGGCAGACTTATTTACAATTGGCTTCTTTTACTGCTCAGATGCTAACAAAGTAACAGGACGCCAGAGTTTTAGACATTTGTAAGTTTTCAGTGGCTGAGCTTCCTCCTTCTAAAAGAGGACTGTTAGTCTCTATGTCAGAGCAAACATATTGGACAATACCATCATCATATCACTTATAGTAGCATCCTGAAGATAGTTGTGTGCTCTGGTGATATTTATAGTAAAACCCTCAAGAAACTGAGTGGCGTCAGTCATACAGCGGACGGGCACGGAGAGATGGGGTGCTGAGCCGAGACTCTTGGGATTCATCGACAACAATGGAGAGAAAAGAGGGGAGGCTCCGGCTCGGAGAATGCAGCAGTGTGCAGTCTTTGCAGTGTTTTGCACCTCCCCTGTTTTTCTCTGCTGCTTTTGCCAGCTCTTCCTCCTGCCGGAGTGTGTGACAGAGATAGAAAATCCACCGATACGCAGAAAACTGTGCTTATGGTGTTCTTATATTTATTTGAATCAAGGCTGTTTTGGTGTTTCAGCACCATTTACTGCGACAAATCTCTTTGCCCCTTCTTTTGTTCAACTGGCCACCTTCCACCCAAAATTAGAGTCTGTTTTTCTAATGAAAATGTCGCCTTGGCAAGCTGAAGCAGCTTTGCTGTAGTCTGTCTCTGTTCTATCCCTGTCTGTGCTTCGTTCTATATCACAAGCTCTTGCAGCAGATCCTCAACTGTCTTCTCTACAAAAGTGAAAATGTTTATTTTTGTACTGCTGCAAGCTAGCAATTTGCATCCTACATTTCACGAACACCCGGCTAGCAGCAAGCAGAACCCATTCAGGGATGACGTTTCAAAATCAAATGGTTTGCTTTCTGTACCCCGAAGTTTATTGGCATAACAGTGAGAGGCTGATGTTGAGAGGAGTGCAAACTGATGAAAATCATATATTTTCAAGATTCAATAAAACCTTCGAATTGGGTATGAAGCACCAAGCAAGGATATAAACTGAAAAAAAAAACATATTGAAAAGAGAGCTAACAGATGCAGATACTAAGTAGAAATATGATAGAAAACTGTCAAACATTTGAAACTATCGGACACTAATGAAAAAAACGGGGCTGGCCAAATAGAGAGCAGTCACTCTGGAGATTCACAGTTTATGCGGGGTGCAGCCATATTTGGCTGGAGGGTTGAAGTGATGCCAGAGAGTCTGCTGTTGCTCCCCTCTGATGGTGCCTAGCAGCAGCAAACATTGATTGTTTCATCAGGACCCATTCCCAGAGGGCCCATCCTCCACTCCTGTCCACTGGTGTCCGGTGTGCCTGACACGCCCAGTCCTCTAACGGGCTGACCTCAGCAGAGATGTTTTTTTGGCAAGGTTGCTTTTATCCAAATGGATTTGGTTGATCTTTTTTAACCTTCCTGTCAACTTTAAAGTTCCATTAAAGTGGTCAAAATGACCAAATGCAGTAAAACATTTTGAGAAAGAAATGTTGTGCTGTGAACAGTGTGCGCTGCACTTTGTGTAACACATGGAGTTTTGTTAAAATGGATTGTTCTGTTGGCAGTGCAGGCAGTTAAGAAGAGTATTATTAAGGAATATGCACAAAGTCTATCTGCAATGTTTTGCTAAATGTGGCTGGAGGGTCTGAAATAAACTTAACTTAAACTTAACTCTGCATAAACTTAACATATAAACCTGTAAATAGCTTTCGTGAAGCACGTAATTTACTTTGTTTAGAATATCATGAAAATAATCCTGGTTGTATTTTC